TTTTGTACTGGAAATACCATTTGCGATAGACACTCCTTATTGTAGAAACAAATATCAAAACGAATGTCTCATTTGAAAATTCTTTTCTGATGATATTTTTATTGTAACATGAAGTATGAGTGGGTTGGTTGATAATCAATCAGTCATGTTTGTTTTAAGGTCAAAGGTGTGTCTTAAAATCAGAATATCAATTATGCATCTCACACCTTGAGAACTTGATACAGTAAGCTGACAATTTAATCAAGCTATTGGAGGTAAATGTCATAATTACCATGATGTGTTTGTGTGTGGTGCTATCTTTATCATGGTTGTGTGTGTGCAGGTGTGATAATAATACCCTGTTGGTGGGTGCTGGACTTCGAGAGCCCCATGTTGGATCATTTAGTACATAATCGTGGTGTGGGCCTGCACAAAACAAAGCACAGCTCAAGGACCATTGTCTACGACAGGGAGGAACCCCGCCCCCAATAACCACTATTAAATGCAGAATGCAAGTGCAATTGTCAGGATGTATGTGGCCTTTTTTGAATAACAAATGGCAACTTTTTGATAACTGTTGATTGATCCTATTCACATAAACACTTGATTGGTGTGAAAAGCTCAGCCCACTTAAACAGTAGGGTGCCTTAATAACAGACTGCGTTTATTTGATATATAACGCTGTTCTATAGATCTGAGGGTTGTGTATAATAAAACGGTTATTTCAATGAGGGGTCCTGTAATTCTTTGCCAATGAATGGTGCTCTTTCTGTTCCATTGTGGTGCCTGCTCCCGGTAGGGAATGGAATACCACTAACTGGATTATATCATTAGGGAACTGGGGTCAACAGCGACAAACGAACCTGACCTCAATCATCGGAGATACCCAACACTTGGTCGACAAGCCGACCCCCTCGCAATGTTTTTCATTTTACGGCCCATCACCTGCGGTGAACGATGCACCAGTTGACACGGACTGAAGATGGCGTGAAGTGTTGGGACAAGTACACTCACAATATTTGTCCATGTTTTGAGCTAAATAAGCTAGTTCCACCTTCTCGCCTGTCCACAGCTGTAATTAGAACACAAATAGTACTTCAAAGTCCCACGAAAGCTTGACTTGGTATTAAATTAGCACTAAGTATGCCTAGTCGGGCGAGGTTGTAAGGATATAGAGGTAGCTAGAGTGGTAGGATCTGTTTTAGGACATATTGATCACAGCCGGCTATGAGGTTATATCGGTACAGAACAAGCAAACATGTGTTTTTACTCACGTATAACATGGCAAATCCATGTCTAAGGAAAAAAGAAATTACATTGTCAAAATTCAAGTATGCTATTCATTCAAATATATAATTAGGAAAAAAAGATAAATCAATTTTGTATTGGCATGTTTAAACTGGAAATGTAAATACCAGTACCATAACTATTACGAAATTGTGTTTTAATTGTTCTGTCTTGCCCACACTTTGTATTCCAGTGGAGATTATCCCCTCCTCTCTGTTTAGTTTTGTTTAGATTAAATTAGCCTTGTTTTATAATTGATTATGTACACCATTAAATTAGGCAAAACAAAAAGGCATGTTTGATTCCTGTTTTATAGAAGCCCTAGTAAATTATATTTAAATTAGAAAAACTTAAAGTGATATTTGTTTTAAAAACATGAATATTGAGTTTTTTAGTGAAGAAAATAATGTTTCTAACAAATGTGTAGCTAAAAACTTCTTGTTTTACTATATTTGTTATCTTGATGTACATGACACTTGTCTAAATCAAATCAAAGTTCATGTCTGAAAAATTAAGGGTAGGTATAGTTAATAAATTTATCTTTTATTTTTTTAAGGTTCATATAGAAGAGTGATCTTAACTTGAACAGTGTTTCCTTGAAATTTGCCAATAAATGTTTAGGGTAGGCACAATAAATTAGGGTAGGTAGGATCAACATTCTTTATTTAGCCTTACCTTCGACATATTCTGCTCATGATAATAAAAATTAAATCATCCACAGTAATTTAAATCACATTAAAATAAACTTTGATCATGACAAAGTTCATTTTGCATATATAGAGTGGACTCAACTTCATACTTTCATATAAAATAGCATTTTTCATCAGTTTGAATTTTCAGTGGTGAAAAAAAAACTTGTTTGCAGAGATATCTTTTGGTTTCAATCTTACCAGAAGACACAACATATGTCATATGCTGTCACGTGGCAAATTATTATATTTGACACGATAATTGTGTCGACCGTTATCACCCCTACAGAATTTCCCAATGGGGGTCATGACCCCCATTTGGAGATTCAGGGGTTAGCAGGTATGATCCACTGCAATTCTGTTATCTTCTGTAGCAACTTTGTTAAAGCAGATCACTACATTTCATATTGCATTGTAAAACTAAACACTCAAGAGAAGAAACAGCCTTAGATACCTGAGGTGTTTGTCACTACCTTCCACATAGACCACCGGCTAGTAGCCTGGGATATGGCAGTTTTAAGGTTTGTCCTCCATTATGGACATCTGTGATGTTGAATCGTAGTGGATACTTCTTGATACAAATGGCTAGCTTTATCAAGACTCAGAATTAAATAAAATTGAACAATGCCAAATTGTTGATTTTTTTTTTAAAACAACATTGAAAAGAGCTTGAAGCATGTCTGTTTCCTTTCTGCCTATTTAGAAAGGTCATCTCATATTCCTCATAACCTGACTTGTTTGCAAAACAACTTTGACTATGTGGATCGCTTGATAAAGTCATGCCACAACTTGTGTCAATGTTTATCTAATAATTGTTAGTTTTCAATTGGAAAAAAAAGGCACAATAGCTGATTTTCTTTTAAAATGTAGAAAATGAACTAAATAAACAGTCATGAGTTGTTGAACCTCTATATTACAATGGAATGTCTCATGTGTAAAAATGGGTATTTACACAAATCTGATATCTTGTTTTCAATAAAGGGTCTCTATCAAGCACAAACAAATCATCATTCTTATAATTGCCAAGGGTGCCTGATACAATTGCCAAAAATGTTTAACAATAATTCCTATGTATGTTTTTAAACATTAAAGGGAACCTAAATACAGATGTATTATTTATCTCAATATTATGTAAACAAGTAAAGGATTTTTTAATGTACAGATCCCTTGACTGTTAAAAGAGTGCAGATTTGATAATTGAAATCAATAGTACATTTATCAAAGATAATGAATATCATTGGACAGTACAATATGTGGACTGGGCAGTGAGCATGGTTTATTTGGTGGTATTGGAGAAACATGATATTCAGCTAATGATTAGTAGTCCTCTATTTGTACTATCACAGGGGATTATACCTGGTAGGTTTGCATTCCAACCATCTGTCAGTCATTTTATCAATTAGTCTGGGGCAAATCTACAATTGTATGTTAATACCTCTTTATGCTACAGAGTTATGGCCCTTTAGTGTGGGGCATATCTCCAATTGTATGTTAATACCTCTTTATGCTACAAAGTTATGGCCCTTTAGTGTGGGGCATATCTCCAATTGTATGTTAGAACCTATTTATGCTACAGAGTTATGGCCCTTTAGTGTGGGGCATATCTCCAATTGTATGTTGGTACCTCTTTATGCTACAGAGTTATGGCCCTTTAGTGTGGGGCATATCTCCAATTGGATGTTGGTACCTCTTTATGCTACAGAGTTATCGCCCTTTAGTGTGGGGCATATCTCCAATTGTATGTTAGAACCTCTTTATGCTACAGAGTTATGGCCCATTTGTTCACTGCACGTCACTTTGTATATGGTGTCACTTTGTATCAGGCATAATTAACTCTTATAATGTTATTTGCAATTGCCATATTTTTTATGCCAGTAGGTCTCAGAATGGAGAATTATTGATATAGAAATCAAATCGTGTGGCCTGAATACTAGTAAGAACCTTTGTTCATATTTGGTACTGAAGTTTGGTAAGAGTTTAGGGACTGTGGATTGCTCAAAGTACTTTGCCTTGTTGATTATTACTTGAGAGTTAATTTTGAATTATTATCCACTCTCCGAAAGAAATAGTTCAAAATCAACTCATTCCATTAGATATCATTCATATCGGTCATCACTCACTGGAACTGATGGAAGACTTTCATAGCTACTCTATCTTTAAAGCATCAAAAGAAATCAACATTTGAGAATCTCAATCCCACTGCAGACAAAACAATAGAAAATCCACTACTTGTTCATACATACATTAACTTCCCCTTAAATTCATTTTGTTTATAACTGTACCCTGACAGGACAAGGCCACTGTACCCTGACAGGACAAGGCCATTGTACCCTGACAGGACAAGGCCACTGTACCCTGTTAGGACAAGGCCACTGTACCTTGACAGGACAAGGCCACTGTACCCTGACAGGACAAGGCCACTGGACCCTGACAGGAAAAGGCCACTGTACCCTGACCGGACAAGGCCACTGTACCCTCACAGGACAAGGCCACTGTACCGTGAAAGGACAAGGCCACTGTAACCTGACAGGACAAGCCCACTGTACCTTGACAGGACAAGGCCCCTGTACCCTGACAGGACACGGCTACTGTACCCTGTCAGGACAAGGCAACTGTACCTTGACAGGACAAGGCCACTGTACCCTGACAGGACAAGGCCACTGAACCCAGACAGGACAAGGCCACTGCCATTGACCAGAACACTCAGTTGGTTAGAGCAAAAGTATATTGATCACAGGTCCAGGCTTTGAAACATTATTTGTTCAATGCCTCTGCTAGGAGTTGAACTAGGAACTATAGTTTACAAGCCTTCCCAATCCGAGTTTGTAGGAAGCGGCTAGTATTTTACCAGAGTAACATACACCCTCTCTAGGAAAGAAGTTATCCTTAGTTTTCTAGGGTTCTTAGCGATTCCTTTGCATGTGTTGCCAAAAAAATGTCTTTTGTAGAATGTGTATCAGACTATGGTTGTTTGCTGTAGCACCGATGAATTGTCATTATGTTGTGACTGGCATTGTAGTTCACCTGTATTTGTGTTTATTGTAGGATGTGTCCTTGCCCACAAGGGGTGCATCAATGAGTCTCGTGATGTTTTTGCCCAGGTACGTGAGGCAACTGCAGACTTTTGTGATGTTTGGCTGAACATCGCCCATATCTATGTGGAGCAGAAACAGTTTGTGGCTGCTGTCCAGATGGTGAGTAGTAGAGAATATGAACTGATATTGAAATGTGTCTATTTGAGGCTTTCCCACCAACACAGCCTTGCTCTTTTCAAGTTGACTCAAAGTTTACTGCAGACTCAAAAGTTCTCTTTATTTCATTTACCTCCTCTCTTACTGCAAAAATTCTTTTTCAGCAAAGCTGATTAAGGTTGAATTGCGATTTGTCTCCGGGAAATACCCCTTCTTATAAAATTGGTTCGTATAAAATGCAGGGGTAAAGAACCAATGTACAATAAGTGTTGAGAAATGTTTACATTCATCTTCTAGGTTTATTTAAAAAGCAGATTTCAGATAAAAAGAGAAGCAGTTTGGGTATAAAAGCAAGTTTGAAGGTGATAGGTGTCTCCTTTGTTTACATATATAGAATTATGTCCGTTATGCGAAAAAAGTTGTATTACCATACAACAATCATCTATAAATTATAAAAGTACCAGAACAGTTTGTTTTAGGTACCGAAATGTGTGCGGGTACTGAAATGAGTGCGTGCATACTCCCACAGTTTAAAACGAAAAGTAGTCCAACGCTGCAATCAGTACATCATATGAATCGGAGGAGTCCCTGGTTGATATTTAGTTGTGAGATAAAGCAGATGTTTATTCAGGTTAAGATCGTTTCTCAATATTACAATATTAAGTTCTCCTGCTAGAAAAATATTCAATCAGATCAGCAGGGTTGAAAATCAGACATAGCAAATTTATGGGTTTACTTTCAAATTTGTTAAAATCATTACTTTCATTTATTCCAGGTGCAAAGTGGCCTTGGAGTGAAATTTTAAGATGCATCTGTTTGTTAGAAAATGTGACAATCTTGACAATATTTCTAACAATATGAGAATGTTTGATGTTTTACTTTCAGTATGAAAACTGCCTCAAGAAGTTTTACAAGTACCACAACATGGAGGTGATGGTTTACCTGGCCAGAGCCTACTACAAGTGTGGCCGCCTGCGGGAGTGTAAGAACATCCTGCTTAAGGTAGGTTATATCATACTATTATTCTTACACCCAAATATTTCAGGCATGGCACATTTCTGACTATGTGCTCCTGAACTATTTGAGGTGTGAGACGTTTCCCCCTGTGACGCTTAACTCTATACACATATTTCAGGCAAGCCATGTTTCCCCAAGTGCCATTATAATACTTACACTGAAATATTTCAGGCACGCCATGTTTCCCCCAGTGATACTTTACTCTATACACATATTTCAGGCACGCCATGTTTCCTCCAGTGATACTTTATACACATATTTCAGGCACACCATGTTTCCCCCAGTGATACTTTATACACATATTTTCAGGCACGTCATGTTTCCCCTAGTGCCACTATAATACTTACACCGACATATTTTTAGGCACGTCATGTTTCCCCAAGTGCCACTATAATACTTACACTGACATATTTCAGGCACGCCATGGTTACCCCAGTGATTCTTCAGTCTTTACACATATTTCAGGCACGTCATGTAGTGCCACTATAATACTTACACTGATATATTTCAGGCACGTCATGTTTCCCCCAGTGCCACTATTATACTTACACTGACATATTTTCAGGCACGTCATGTTTCCCCTAGTGCCACTATAATGCTTACACCGACATTTTCAGGCATGTCATGTTCCCCCCAGTGCCACTATAATACTTACACTAACATATTTCAGGCACGCCATGTTTCCCCCAGTGATACTTTATACACATTTCCCCTAGTGCCACTATAGTACTTACACTGACATTTTCAGACACGTCATGTTTTCCCCAGTGCCACTATAATACTTACACTGACATTTTCAGGCACGTCATGTTTCCCCCAGTGCCACTATAATACTTACACTGACATATTTCAGGCACGCCATGTTTCCCCCAGTGATACTTCAGTCTTTACGCATATTTCAGGCACACCATGTTCCCCCCAGTGATACTCTATACACATATTTAAGGCATGCCTTGTTTCCCCCAGCGATACTTTATTCCGTCTTTTCGTATTGCAGAGTTATCTTCTCTTGTGAGCAGGTATTGATTGTTACGTCATTTGTTTTTGAGAGTCGTCAATTTGTGAGAAAACAACGTATTTTTCTCACACAAATCAATACCTGCTCACAGGAGAAGATAACTCTGCAATATGTAAAGATAGAATACACATATTTCAGGCACGCCATGTTTCCCCCAGTGATACTTCAGTCTTTACGCATATTTCAGTCACACCATGTTCCCCCCAGTGATACTCTATACACATATTTAAGGCATGCCTTGTTTCCCTCAGTGATACTTTATTCTGTCTTTTCGTATTGCAGGGTTATCTTCTCTTGTGAGCAGGTATTGATTGTTACGTCATTTGTTTTTGAGAGTCATCAATTTGTGAGAAAACAACGTAATTTTCTCACACAAATCAATACCTGCTCACAAGAGAAGATAACTCTGCAATATGCAAAGATGGAATACACATATTTCAGGCACGCCATGTTTCCCGCAGTGACACTATAATACTTACACTGACATATTTTCAGGCACGCCATGTTTCCCCCAGTGACACTATAATACTTACAATGGCATATTTTCAGGCACGCCATGTTTCCCCCAGTGACACTGTACTACTGTACAATATTGCCCTGGTACAACAGAAGTTAGCCACCTCTATACTGAAAGACGAGAAGAGCAGCCTTAAGACTGTCCTGTGTGCTGTCCGTGATCTGGAACTTGCTCATAAGTAAGTCACTCAAACCAGTTAGTTGGCTGTTGAAATAAAGGGATTGTGTATATTATGATCTTTTTAACTGATATTTTAGGATATACTTACATTGTTTGGTTAATTAATTTCCATTGCAGGTACTTCAGTTACCTCAGTCAACATGGAGACCGGATGAAGTTTGATCTGGCTCAAGCCGAGGCAGAAGCTAGGTATGTGCTTTATAAAATTGGATTACCACACAATTGCTCAAAGCAATTTGAATACTTTTTAGCTCACCTTCTAGACCAAAGGGTCAGATGAACTTGTGTCGTGGCATGACATCTGTGTCATGACCTTGGTTACTATCACAACAAAGATACATTGAGGACTTTAATTTGCAACAGTAAATTACTTTGGTTTAAAAATGACACTCCTTCATTGATGGCTAGAATCCCTGTAACACAGGTTCTGGTTACTTTGAGTTTAATTGACACTCCATTATTCTTTGTTAAATAATGTTCAACCGCGACAACATGAAATCTTCCAGTTCTACATTTCATGCACACAGAGTACACATAATTTTAGATTGCCCTTTACTCCTTCTTGGCGTCCTACAGCTGTTGGCCTTCCTTGTCTCCACACAATGTTGGAGCCAATCATCTCTCCTCCAGCTACCCGTGCTGGAATCTAGTTGTTTGTTTGTTTGAGTTGTTTTACATCCGCTTCACTAGTGGTTCGGTTAACCAACAGTCGAAGAAAAGATAGGAAAATGAGTAGGCAGGATGAAGTATGTAGTGAAGAGGAAAATGAGTAGGCAGGACGAAGTATGTAGTGAAGAGGAAAATGAGCAGGCAGGATGAAGTATGTAGTGAAGAGGAAAATGAGTAGGCAGGATGAAGTATGTAGTGAAGAGAAAAATGAGTAGGCAGGATGAAGTATGTAGTGAAGAGGAAAATGAGTAGGCAGGTGGAAGTATGTAGTGAAGAGGAAAATGAGTAGGCAGGATGAAGTATGTAGTGAAGAGGGAAATGAGTAGGCAGGATGAAGTATGTAGTGAAGGGATAGAACCTATCTCCCAAGGCTTACACTTGACTCTTTTTAAATTAGTCTTTCAACAAATTTTAACAAACCATATTACAATAACTTTTCTGAGCATCTACTGCCCTTAGTTGTTCATATTTAAACAAGGCTCAAGTAGCTATTTTTTTCTAAAATTTCCCCATTGAAGTGAAAACTTGATTAACTTATAAAATAATCAATTTTGTGTGTTATTGATGGAAATCTCAATCTCAATAATTGTTTCTATATCTAAATAAGTGATCTATAACTTTTCAAGCTCACGCAAGATCTGCATAATTTGCACTACTGGAAAGGCTGGCTCAATAGGCTGGTGCTTCACTCAATTGGAATATATTTTAACCTCACTAAATTGTGCTTCACTCAATTGGAATATATTTCAACCTCACTGAATTGAGCAGGCTCATCTTATTTACATTTTCTAGTATACTCTTTTCAAAACACATTTCTTTTTTAAGTGTCCATGCATTTTAATGTACTATCTATCCATTTGGAAATCAGATCTATTCATCAGAATCATTCTCAATATATCAGGAACACAAAATTTTAGGATGAATGTGGAAATGTCATTTTAGTTAAGGGCTCTTTGCCCTATCTAAGGAGCAAAGAAAGATGCATATTTGTTCTATTGTACCCTTTTACTAAGGGCGACTATGAAGATTCCTACAGTACTTCCCATTTTTTCATCAATGCAATTTTTTTATTTTCCTTACATTTTATATTGCAATTGAAATTGTCTAGAATGATGAAGTTCTACAACAGTACATCTTTAGTTCCCATGATTAATCATGTGAACTATTGCCATCAGTCTGTGTCATCATGCATAAACAATTTATATTTTCAATTTCTTCTTCAGAACCACTTAAAACTTGAACAATGTTCCTTATAAGGTTCCCAACAGGTATTCTTACTTGATGTGCCAGTCTGAAAATTCAAGATGGTTGCCCTAGCCTCTGATTCACTGAGACGTTTTCAATTTCTTCTCAAAATTGTACAAATGTTCTTAATAAGAACCCAAACAAGTGTTTTTACATTGAGTGCCTAATGTTATATAAATTCATGATGGCTGCCCTGGTCTCTGATTGGCTGAGACATTTTCACTTCCCTCTCAAGAACGACTCCAAACTTGGTACAAATGTTCTTTATGAGGTTTCCAACAATTGTTCGTACTTCTCATGCTGATCTGTAGATCCACTGTGGCTTCTGATTTAGACTTGTACTCATGTGAGTGAAAAATCATGTTAAACAACTTAATTATTACATTGTGAAGGATTAAAACACCTGAAGGTTCAAAAAGCATAGTGTTGGTCACACCACAACTTGACTTATGAAACTGCCCTTGACTGTGTTTGCCTGAATGTGAAATGGTATGCCTTGTTATTTTATGAATCTCTGCCTTGTATGCTGTTACCTTTATCATACATTCCCCAAAACATTTCAATCATTACAGTATGACCATTGAAATGTTTCAGACAATGTTCCGATTTGCTCAGTCAAGCTCAATATCATGTAGCACGAGCGCGGAAGATTGACGAAGCAGAACGGGAAATGAGAAAGCGACACGAGGAAGAGAGAGAGGCTATCCGAGAGAAACATCGTCAAGATGAGGTAACTCTGATAATATCCAGTGACGAAAGGAGCACCGTTATTGTGATGCTGGTCCAAAGTAATTTCATTCCTTTCTTTTGGTATCTTAAAGGTCCATTACCACTGCCAGAAACTGTATCCATGTATTGAAAACTGTTATTCTGTCAAGACTATGGCTTAGATATCATTCCTGAAAAGAAAACTATACCTCTCAGACTTTTTATGAAAAAAAACAAAGATGAAAGAATTGAAAAGAAAGAATATAAAATAGTGTGAAAACTCCATGACGCTGGATCAGGATTCTCAAACCCTGGACCTCCGATCAAATGAACTACCTGGTCAATGTTATTTGTCCAGCCTAGTCTCGCTACAGTAAAATCCAAAACAAAATTAAGGGGAGGTTACTATATGTGTGAAAAACTACATTTGAATGATCTAGTGTTTGGCCTGTTATGGAAAAAAGGATCCTCCAGTACAACTTTCAGTTATTAGCCTGGGACATGCTCAAAGTGCCTAGGCTCTATACAAGTGCAATAATGTGTGTCTCATCGAAATGTCTTGTAGCATATTTTTAGTTAGTGTTGTAAACTCCTGTTGGTAAGAATGCCTGCAAACTCGGTGACAAGAAAATGCTTACTTACAACAACAAGAAAAAGAATCTATATAACACTAACTAGTTTGATTTAAACCAGAGGTGACTGAAAAAGAACACATTTTGAGTAGTCTTATTACTTGATGTTGTTTTCTGTTTGAGTGAGGGTCTGTTTTACAGTTATAACAGTGCTAATAGAGCGATGTTTTCATTTCCAGGAAGAAAAGCAAAAGGTCAGGGTGGAGAAGGGTCGCCGTATGATGGAGGAACGAGCAAAGATTGTAGAGAAGGCAAAGAAAATTGCCCTGGAGCCAGATATTGAGGATAAACCCCGGAAAAGTGGGGGAAGGGTAAGGGTTTACATAAGGATTGATGAAAAATAAGGGGCCCATTAGGGTGAAGGAAAGGAAAGGGGCCCATTAAGGTAAAGGAAATGGTACAGCACATATTCAGTAAATAGAGAATCTGACACGAGTGTTCATGTAATATTGAATTTATTGAACGAGTTTATTAATTTCCATTAAGTTAATAAACGAGTTTAATAAATTCAATATTACATGAACAGGAGTGTTAGATTCTATTTATTACATAATTTGTGAAACACTCTTTTTCTTGAAGCGTCTCCTTTATATACTTTGTACCGATGGCTGACGAAAGGACGCATTACATGCATTTTGTTTGGAGCTCGCTGCGCCACAAAAAATAGTTTTAGAAACTTCTTCCCGAGAACCTTTTCAATGAACAATCATTTAGGTTTTCTTCATCAACTAATGTTTTAATCATTATCATTACAACATTAATAATCATTTTTTATACAAAAACCATTCAACGAATTGGCGTTTACGAAAAATAACAGTGACGTCACATATTTGGCACAACGGCACGTGCACTGTCAAGGTAAAGGTCATCACAATAAACATCAAAGTCTGCACTTTTTAAAAGTTTACAGGGACTGGAGTGATTGTCACTCTCTATAACACAGGCACATTTCTTTGGCGAGGGTTGTTGGTGAATGTGAACCTCGATGTTTCCGCCTGTCACTGAGCCAGAAAATATATTGTGGAATCCGCCATGAAACTGGAACACTGATGAAATTGACCGGTTACACGTGTTCTCCATTGATTGTGTGTATGTCGGAGAAGTTCAAGTGGAATTTCAGCATGCAGGTGTTGAATTTGTGTGAAGCTAACACTCGTGTTTATATAATATTGAATTTATTAAACTTGTTTGTTAATTTTATTCTCCCAGTGCCCCTGCCTCTGCTATCAATGCAAACAGTAATTCGGTCAGCCATTTTGTTTACAAATGTAGAAGTTGTAGTGCGTAGGATTATGACCTGTTTCCCACGGTGACAAGACTCATTTGCATATTTATTGTACGTGTGCTATATCGTTTTTATTGAATGGCAATATTGCACGGAAATAGCCTGTATTTTATAATAAAGAATGATACAGGACACATAAGGGAGTTAATAGAAACTCAAAGGGTCAATGGTTAAGGATACAGGAAGGGAAGGGTCACATTAGAGGCTGTATTAGTAGTATATTGTCCTAAATCATGGTTACTTTAAACTGCAGAAAAAGAAGCACAATGATGATGGCGAGATCCTATCGGACAGTGGGGATGAAGCACCGAGGAGGAAAAAGAAAAAGAGGTTTGACAGCGGGTCTGATGGTGAAGGGGACAGAGATCGTGGCAAGAAGAAACGCAAGAGGGGAGGAGGAAAGTAAGTGTCGTTAGACTTGTGGTATATATGTTTCACAGAACCAAGATGTGACTGGTGAATGAGAAGTGAATATGTTTGTACATCCTGTAAAGCATTTATTTTTAACATTCTTCAATGATTTATGTTCCCTTCTCACCTACCTCTTTTTTTAAAGTAGGTCAAGGAGAGGAGGAGGAGATGACAGCGATGCTGATGATGATGACCGTCCAGCAAGGAAACGAAGGGGAAGGAAGGAAATGGGATCAAAGAAGAAATTGGATGAGGATGGACTCACAGCAAAACAGCGAAGAAAGGTGGTCTCCAAGGAGATGATATCCTCCAGTGAAGGGTCCGACTCAGAAGGAGCAAGGCGACTCCGAATTGATGATCCGTATGTTTGTTTAGCTTTTATTCTTATTTCAAATGAATGGAATTTTGATTGTGGCAATACTTTTTCAGTTTGAAATAACACCAAGCATATACGGTATATCCTTTACTTAAATCTTCACACCATTGGAATTGGCAATAAAGCAGGATTTGTTACTGTGTAAATAAGTATCAATAATCAATAGACTGGATTTTATTAATATTTTGCGACAGTAGAACCAACTTAATTTCTAAGAGACTTATTAGTCGTGCCCCTTGTTTAACAGGTGTTCTGTAAAGACCTGCATAATATTTAATTTGTGACTTGTATAACGTAAACACCCAAATAGAAAACCCTGATGACTTATATAGACACAGATATCTGATACTTGGCGTAATGTTTATTGATTGTGTATGTGATGTTGATACAGTGGCAGTGACTCTGAGAAGGAGGACGGTGTTGGAAGGAATCGGCGAATTCTCTCCTCTGCCAGCAGTGGTGAGGGTAGCGGCTCAGACAATGAAAGACGTTCTGGCTCAGGCTCAGACAGCGGACGATCACGTAAGAGTTCACGTTCTGGACGAGGCTCAGTCTCTGGGTCTGGTTCAGAGAAAGGTTCACCACGAAGGTCAGGGAGCGAGTCTGATGGAGGGAGAAAAAGTGGATCTGGTAGTGAGTCTGACGGAGGTCGAAGATCAAGGTCAAAAAGTGGTAGTGAGGCTGGTTCTGCTCCAGGATCACCAGCGGGGTCAGGAAGTGGTGGCGAGTCACCAGCTAAGTCTGCCGCGGAGGACAGTGATTGAAACAGCACTTATGGTTGTCTTATACACCAAACCATAACTTTTATAAAAAAAAAATCAAGAGAAATTATCTCTATATGATTCTTGAATACAAGAAAGTGCCTGCACACCAGGCTTTCAAATTATCAGATTTTGCATTATGAAATTTCACTAAAACTGTTAGTCATGTCATTGTAAAGTTGGATACTATGTTGAGTTGTTGGTAGATAATTTGTGTCTTCTGTGAGATTTTGATTCTTAAAAAATTATTGCCGCTGTATAAATTGTCATTATTGTACGCTTATTGGACAGTGAAATGATTGACAAGTTGATGTAAGGAGGACAGAGATTACAAGGTCTTGAACTTGATATCTCATTAAGGTAAACATTGTATGTTTGATGTTTCATGTATTATAAGCCTGAAGATACATATTCGTGCCTGCGATATATCAAGATAACTCACAGATGGTGTACATAAAAACACCCATGTTTCTGCAGATTGTAAAAAACAAATGTTTATTAGAAAATTTGAATTAACATGTGATTAATCCAATAAATCCCCAGGACAGATATGAGGAATGTTCAACTCACAGTCAGTACAGGAATAATTGTTTGTAATTTCAGGACTATAATATTAAAAATTGTTTTGAAGTTTGTCCAGATATAAGGTACACTGACACTAATCTCAATCCTTTACAGGGTTTAGAGATTCTATTAGTTACAGAAAGGAATGACAGATCAACCCTTGGTTTGATGAGGTGTGAATGTAATGTATTTGTTATAACTCTCTTTGTCTTTAAAGTCATGTAGTAAAATGCTGGATTGCCGCATGAATCCATGATACTCGCTGCTGGTGCATATACTGGAATCAGAAGTGAAGTTTGGGAACATCCTGGAAATTAGGAAGGGATACTGGAAGAGAAGGGAAGGGGGGGTATACAGGAGGTGGGAGGGGGCATCTTAGAATCACCCTGACAGGAAATGTTGGTAGTACACTGTAATATCAGTTTGACCATAAACACAATCTTGTTCAGACAAGCAGTCCCTCAGTGTCTTGATTGCCTTGGATTTGTTGGTTTAAACATCATCTGTTTATGTGTATCTGGCATATGACTTCAATTTTTCATTTGTATTAGTGCACTCAGAGTCACTGTTTCAAGAAAATCTTCATATCATTAAAACTTCGTATAAAAGTTAGGCACAAGTATTCTTTGAACAAATTTGTATTATTTGCAATGACTCATTTGCATTTGTGTTCTTCAAGGTTCTCTGTTCCATTTGAGGCAAAACTGTAGTGGTTAGAGCGACAGTATAACGATCTGAGGTCCAGGGCCGGGAGAAACGGTTAGCGCGACAGTATAACGATCTGCGGTCCAGGGCCGGGAGACATGGTTAGAGCGACAGTATAACGATCTGAGGTCCAGGGGCGGGAGACACGGTTAGAGCGACAGTATAACGATCTGAAGTCCAGGGCCGGGAGACACGGTTAGAGCGACAGGATAACGATCTGAGGTCCAGGGCCGGGAGACACGGTTAGAGCGACAGTATAACGATCTGAGGTCCAGGGTTCAAATCACTGTCCTGCTGAATTTTTACACTGGAACACTATTGTTGATGATATTTTGTTTATTTCATCTTTATTATTTTTTCAAAGAAGTCCTGCAAGGTTTGGTTTTCTTTCCAGATATGAGTTATCAAAGATATAGTCATGCATGGTACATGGATCCTCAGAGAGGTTAATAATCAGGATACTATGGCAGCCTAAACTGCAATCAGTCCTCTTGACATAATCGTGTGATGTAATGAATTTAATTCGTTTTTTGGAAATAAATTTGACTTCCCATCATTGACTTAATGGCTGTTGTGTGTTCATATCTTTTTTAGCGCCTGGTCTGAAAGACCTGGTTCCTTCTGAACAACTCACCAGATTTCAATAAAACTTGACATGTTGCATTCTTGGGACTAGAGAATCAAATTTTATATAATGGAATGGGGTGGAACCCCTTTTGCTTCATAGTCATACTCCTCTTGAATAACTGGACAAATTGTAACCATATTTGGTTTGAAATGTATCTGAGGAAAATGGATCATCTGCTATATAGTTGAAGATATTGCAGCCTCTGGAGCCAGAGGGTTGGGGCCCCCATAGAGGAATTTTAGATGAAAAGCTGTACTCCTTAAAATCCCCACCATACACATATAGTGGGTATGACGAGATGAATACACCCATGCTAACAGGCCTGGCTCTGAGGTCATACCATACCCCAGGGGCTTAGTCCACAAATTTCAACATAAAAACATATCACCACAATAATATTTAGTACATATATGATTGCTGGGCTTAAAGTGATGAATACAAATCGTGATGTCAGGATTGATTCAGGGGTCTTGCCCTGTCACTTGGATTTATTCCGTGTCATAACATAAACAGTTGAGATCCCCATCCTATTATCATATATAGAATCGCTAGGTATTTGAAAGGAAATTAACCCTTGCTACCATGATTTCTCGGAGGTCTGGCGTTGCCCCTGGGTCACAAAGTTGAAACGGTTAAAATCTCAACCTGATAACCGAATGTACTATTTCTTGGCATAAAGTAATGAAAACACTTTTTTTTGCCATGATTAGCTCCAGGGTCTGGACTCGTCCCTGTGGACTTGCATAACATGGAAACAGTTAGGATTATCACCCCATAACCGTATGTAAAATTGATTGGCATCAAGTAACAATATTCCAGATGAGCTATTTAGGCCCCAGGGACACTTGTTTTTACGTTCTGCGCTTTTGAGACTACATTGTATTAGTTTTTAATCAACTAAGATATCTAAATGCAATATCGTAACCTACAAAATTAAAGTTTTTAAATCCTGGGTGAAGGTGGTTGAACCGTAGGTCAAGAGAGACGCAAACACTACCTAAACAACAGCAGTAATATTGTTATCTGGAGGCGTGTACATACGACAATGCAAGAAGAAAAGAATACCTATAAAGCAAATGTAACAATGGTTCTATTATGGAGTTAACGTTTATTAGAGAAGCACACACGACCTACACAACAAAAGCCACGTGATTGTTCACACAGTTTTACGTAAATCACATTTTAAACTTCTAAAACAGTTTTTGACCTTTCAAAAGTGCTTTGCAGCAAGCTTTTAAACAAAAGGTCACAAAAGATGTTGCAAGCCAATCTACAAGTTCGTTGCAGCAAGAATTCATGATGGAGTGAATCAGACCTTTTTGCAATTAGATGTAGCAATACTAGGAACAATTTTGTGGTTTAAACGCCGGTAATACTTTAGTTGCAGAAGATATACCCATGAGTGGATGCTGGTTTCTGACAATATGGTGTAGATACTTATCAAAGATTGATTGTAACATGCCTTACAACAAGTGGATGCAGAGTAAGTCAATGGCCATGTACAGCTGGTCTATCTACGAGCAGGTGTTGCATATCTTTAAAAAAATCGCCGCAACAGGCGTGTTCGGTGTAGCATAGCGATGTGACGTTATTTTCAAGCCGATTGTTGTGCATACTCATGGAGACTCGCTATATCCCTCTCTCAAAAGACTTGTTTTTACATGGGGCTGATATTATCGAAAAGCTTATCAGGACAGGTAACGGAGACATGCCTCCTCCTTTGGCGGTCGGTAAAAATTATGTACGGCACATATTTCAGTTTTTTTTACTGACTATGGACATCGAGATATACTAGGTCCAAGTTAGGTATCTTGATTTGCCAAAATAGAATATATAATATTTGAATTTATTGTTGGTCATGTTTAGATCTAAACAGAGACAATTGCGCCATACCGTTTTACTGACAATGTCGAACGAGTATACTCCTCCTGAATTTGAAATCAAGGATACTACAGGCACTATATATAGATTGATTTTGCTTAAAACATGACCAACGGTGATGGCTTTCTACTAATTGACTGTACTATGACAAACGTGACGATCTTGGCTATTCCTAGTAACATTCATAATTCCCCAACTTATGGTGTTTACATGATGCGGTTTTCACAGATTTGATCGCAGAATATCATGATTTACGTATCGAATACTGACAAGCTTACAGCACAGGGGTTCGAGAGATGCAGGCTGATAAAGCCTAATGGCAAGTTCCCAGGTAACCATCATGCTTTGTTAAGAATATCGTCGTCTTCAATTATGTTCCTTAAGATTTTACCTTGATTTGCATTTGGTGCCGTCGATGAAATAAAAAATGCTTAACCTCCGAAACCTTAGGTTTTGTTGTCTTTGTACTTTTTAAGGATATTAAAATTTATCCTTGTTCACATTTGCTCTAGTTTCGTCGATTTTAAGTTCGAATGACGGTGTTGTCGACACTAGGGTATTCATTGCGATAACAAAAAATCTTATTATTATTTGGTAATCAGAATTGTCTTCCCTGCTTCTGTTTTTTTCGATGTTATTTCAACATTAAAATGCTTTTTTCTTAACATTATTATTCATGAAAGTAGGTCAACACAGTTCCGCTCAAACATAGTCCGATGACGCACTATAAACACATTTATAGAAATTCGAGTGAGATTCCCGCCCACGTAAGTGGGATTGGTTGACTAACGGAACTTTGCACATACTCGGAAAAATAGAAAGGTCAACACCTCCTGTGGACTTTCTCTAAATTGACTATCACAGAATAACATTTCTGTGATATCTTCGTGAATAGTAAGAAGTTAATTTTAGAGGTTCGTGAATAACAACGCTAAACTTTTCTGATCACGAGTGCGCTTCATGGCTACTCGCAGCCCTAGCTAGTCGTCGGGCCATTTATAGAAATTCGAGTGAGATTCCCGCCCACGTAAGTGGGATTGGTTGACTAACGGAACTTTGCACATGCTCGGAATCATAGAAAGGTCAACACCTCCTGTGGACTTTCTCTAAATCGACTAACACAGAATAACATTTCTGTGATATAACATTTTAGAGTAGAATACCTACCAAGTGATATCCTAATCATGACGGACTCTTTGTAAACAAATTAATAGACAATATATCTTATCTTTTGCTTGCAAGAGAAATTGGTAAATAGATACATAAGTTACATAACATACCACACAGACATGATACCATCACTACATATTACCAGTTTACAGTCACATCTATCGATACATTACATTATACTTCATTCACATTGCATTTATTAAATCACAAAATAAAACACAATCTAACAAATACACATATTTCAAATATAAAACAGCCAGTTCTTCATTTACACTAACATCACATTTCAAAAACCGAAACAGTCAAAATCAGCTCTACATATTTTAATATTCAGCAGTGAACGGATATTGAAATCTAGCAACATTGGTACATTAACGTCTCAACAAGAGGCCCATGGGCCTTAACGGTCACCTGATATATTTATACAGAGAGTTGATTTTGTTTTTAACACGATCAGAAATGTTATTCAGTGACAAAAAACAATAAAACCACCTTATTCAATATCTAGCATACAGATTAAAGACTAAAAAGTATTTGAAACTAGCACCTCTGATTCTAAACAAGGAAAATGAAGAAATTTTAGCACACTGACTCCTTTGGGCCCCACCCTACAGCCCTTGGGGGTAGGGCTGGCTCAAAATTTTCAAAGTATCAAACTGTCAACTCAGGGTTATTCCAATCAAGTTATTAACATGTAATATTCAAAGTATCATTTGCCATTATAAACCATAGTACATTTTGCCCCTCCTTCCCCAGGGGTAAACGCGAGACCCTGGGGTCATAAACCTTAAGACCCTTCCATCTATGAAGAGTGTTTGATTCTATCATATCTGGGGCTTTGAGAAGATTTCTTTTTGAAATTTCAGTCAATTCAACCCTTTTTGGCCCCACCCATCAGCCCTGGGGGTCAGTCAGGGCTTATATGTGCATACCATCAAACTGCTATCCAGTACTGATAATGCTAACCCAAATTGAATTACTTCCAATAAAAATTTAACAAATGATGGTCAAAAATGTGATTTCCCTATATAACTATAGTAAAGTTTACCCCCTCCCCAGGGGTACACGTGAGACCCCAGGGTCATAAAATTCACAATTTTGGTAGAGCACCTTAAGACCCTTCCATCTATGAAGAGTGTTTGATTCTACCATATCTGGGTCTTGAGAAGAAGATTTTTGAAATTTCTGTCAATTCAACCCTTTTTGGCCCCACCCAATAGCCCCGAGGGGTCAGTCAGGGCTCATATGTGCATACCATCAAACTGCTACCCAATACTGATAATGCTAACCTAAACTGAATTACCTCCAATGGCAATTAAACAAATGTTGGTCAAAAATGTGATTTCCCTATATAAACTTTAGTAAAGTTTACCCCCTCCCCAGAGGAAAACATGAGACCCCAGGGTCAAGAAATTCACAATTTTGGTAAAGCACCTTAAGACCCTTCCATCTATGAAGAGTATTTGATTCTACCATATCTGGGTCTTAAGAAGAAGATTTTTGAAATTTTAGTCAATTTGACCCTTTTTGGCCCCGCCCCTCAGGCCCCTGGGGGCCGGGGACCAAACCGGCAACTGTTTTTGTTGACCTTTGGCCTTGGAAGGTTTCTGCAAAATTTCATTGAAATTGGTTCAGGGGTTTTGGAGAAGAAGCCGAAAATGTAAATTGTTTACGGACGCACGACGGACGACGACGGACAAAAGGCGATCGCAATAGGTCACTTGAGACTTTGTCTCGGGTGACCTTAAAACAAATTTTCATATAAAAAGCTGTCAAAATTAAGACTGCTCTATTCAAGCAATACATTTTCATCACATTAATAACGCTAACAGTTAAGTACAACAGTAGATATTCCTAATTGTCGGAGTCTCGAGACACTCCT